GCTCCTTGAGTTATTTACTGTCACAGATAGGAGCTTCGGCCAGAGAGTAAGTGTTTGGGCCGGTACAATTAAAGGAGGGCCGGCCCACCGGGCAAATGCCGACTTTCACTCACGTCACCTGCATTGTGTACTGATGGTGGTCAGAGGGCCTGGTGGCACCAGTGTATGGCAGCCCCGCTTCTGTCAGTGAGCCCCAGGGCAGCTGTGGCTACAATGTAGCTCGCCACCATCAGTGTGAGCGTGTGTTTGAATGGGTGAATGACTGAATGTAGTGTAAAGCGCTTTGGTCAAGTCTCCTGACTTACCATATACAATATATAGTACATACCTATATACTATATGCACAGTAGAGTGCGTTAATATAACGCAGAAGGTCTGGAGATGCTACGTTGGAATAGCTTCTAGGCCCTGAACAGGGGAGGGAGAGAGGCAGAGTCAGTGCCACAGGGGTCTATGGGCCTTGTTCATTCAGCTGGTAGCGGATGGGAAGAAACTGTTCTAGTGGCGGGAGGTTTTGGTCCTGATAAACCACAGCCTCCTGTTAGAGGGAAGTGTCTGAGATAGGTTGTGGCTGGGGTCAGGGATCAGCCTAAATCTTTCCTGCATGCCTCAGAGTCCTGTAAGCGTACAGATGTTTCATCCATCCATCCATCCATCCATCCATCCATCCATCCATCCATCCATCCATCCATCCATCCATCCATCCATCCATCCATCCATCCATCCATCCATCCATCCATCCATCCATCCATTTTCTTACACGCTTATCCCAAGTGGGGTTGCTCGGGGTGCTGGTGCCAATCTCCAGCTGTCTACGGGCAAGAGGCAGGGTACACCCTGGACAGGTCGCCAGTCTATCGCAAGGCAACACAAAGACAAACAGGACAAACAACCATTCACGCACACACTCACACCTAAGGGGACTTTAGAGAAGCCAATTAATCTAACAGTAATGTTTTTGGACTGTGGGAGGAAGCCGGAGTACCCGGAGAGAACCCACGCTTGCTCAGGGAGAAAATGCAAACTCCAGATGTTTCATATCTTTTTTACGGTATATATTTTATATCTTCTTCTGAACAAGTTTGTGCTTGCTAAACATGATTTGAAAAAGTGATTTATTTTACTTTACTTCATAAAGAACTGCTCTCTCTCTCTCATTCTGTATTCATGTGTGAAAAATGTTAATGTTTATCCATGAAAAAAAATTTCTGGAGGGCAACTTATACTATACATAAATGGCCTAAGGAAAAGTTAAGAATTTAAGAAAATAAAATAATAAAAAGCTCAAAATAAAGGCTAACTGATTTGAAGGGAAATAAATAAAACATTTAACATCAAAACATGATTTTGATCATTTACAGAAACAAAAGCAAAATACTGCAAACCACAAATATATTAAACCTGTGTAAAGTGGTGTAATGGCTACATCTCAGTAGAGTCAGTAACTCTAATACATCTTCATTCATTCTTACGTCTGCTGTTTTAATTCATCCAAACACAATGACACATTGTGGTTTAAGTTCATTAGTTCAATTTGTTAGTGTTGGCATGTAGTTTATCCATGTTTTTTTTTTTTTTTTTCATAACTCATTTGTCTCTTTTGGTGTATAAAATCATAAACTTCTTGTTGATTTTACTGGTTCCAACCATCTCGAGATAGAAAGGAGAATTTGAGTTGTTTTATAGGTTTCTTTTATAGAAAACTATAATATTTAGATTAACATTTTCTTTTTACATTTATTTTTTTAATAACAAAATATAATGCAGTGTGCTTGTTTAAAAGGTCTGATAAGCCAGTAGATACCCTTGTCAGGTCTTTGTTGAGTTATTAATACTTTATCTGGTCAATTTTTTATTTACTGTTCTGTTTTTGGGGGGCTTTGCTTCCTTGACTGCTTTTTAGAGCTCAGCATTATTTTGTAAATATAATTTTTAGTTTAGAATAAAAAACATGTTTTTCTTGTATGTCTTTTGAAACCTACTTTACATCTGAAAAAGATCACAGTTATTATGAAGTTGAGCTAGAAAATACAACAAGGATTTAATATTAAATTGTGTTTTCTTTTCTTTACGTATTTTCCTAATGCTTCAGAAGATTTCATTGATCCAGATAATCTGCACAATAAAATCTATCTGAAAACTATTTCGGACAAGGACAGAAAAGTGATTTGAGTAATAAAATCTATGCTAAAAAGAACTGGCTTTTCTGCAGAATTTTGTTCCTTTTTTTCTGTTTGTTTTTTCTATTTTTTTTTTTTTTTTAAGAAGGAACAGAAAGAAGAGTATCGGCGTAAATTATGAACACTCAAAAATTTACAATCTCTTCAATGGACAGAGGAGATTCTGTTTGATGGCTGATGTTCTTGATAACGTACTTCATGTATAATACCAAAAGATGTGAAAGCCTTCAAACAAATATAACACATTATAACATTTGATCTGAATGGTTCATTCTCAGTGTTTGGAAAATTCTCTGTATTTTATCTATTTGAAGATCACAGCACCAATTCACAAATTCAAGGCTAACCCAGTTTTGAATTGTTTCATCGCAGGCACTTTAGCATGGAAGCAATCTAGGTCTGAATCTTTTGCCACTTTCATATATTTTTCAGATCCTGGATCAGGTAATTGCTGAATTTTTCCTTAAAGATCAACTTTCAGATATTTTCAATTTCATAGTTTCTTTAGCCTAAAATATATTTTTCATTTATTGACCTCCTTTCTTTTTTATGCAATTAAAGTATAGCCTATTTGTTCATCAAATACAATAAAAAGCTTTAACAAACCAAAACGTCTAGAGAGCTGTTAATCAAATAAAAAACTTAAAGAAAGTTGGATTCTTTGCATGAAAAGCAGCCATAAATTAGAGGTATGGATAGTTATTGTAATGCAATTGGTATAATGTTAGGAGCGCCTTTTTTGCCAGAGAAGCATGATTAGACGGCCTTCTTAACGAAGCATCTTGTGTCTTTTTCTCTACATTTATCCCTGTTTAATATTTTAGAGGTCACTTAGAGCTCTTTTGTGTGTGCAGACGTTTGTGTGCATGAGTTTTTTTCTCCTGCATGTGTCCCCTGACACCTGTAGTCTCTCAGGGTGTGAGGAACAGACAGAGGCCAGAGCCGCAGTCACAGGTCTCAGACCATTGGGGTGTGAAATGAATCGCAGAGCCAACATACTCTGCTCCTGCTGCACACACTTGAAATCACTGCGAGGCTGTTTTTGTGGGCCCTACGAGAGTGAGGGAATAAAGGGTAGTGCCGAGGACGGACTCAGAAAAGAGGAGGGATGAGAAACTGTCATGCACTGTGGTTTTTCAGCAGCATTAAAAGCACCCTCAGTAAATGGAGCTTGTATAAATATTCATGACTGCTGGAACACTTTCTTGTGAGCAGTGGTGTTTGGAGTAATTGTTATTTTGTTTCAATGATGCCCTTTAGTTTAAGACCTCAAAGCTGTTGAAGAGCAGTGCCCAAAGCATGCAGAGCCCTACAAGCTCATGGTTTGCATCACTTAAGTTACAGTTGGCTGTTTATTTATTCAGCATTTGGATGGTTGTCTGAATCAACTAATACACAAAAAATATTCAGCGCTGCCTTTTTATGGGTAAATTCAAATGATTCCAGACAAAATTCAAATTTCAGCTGAAATTATTCCTTATGAGGCAGTAAGCAAGAAATTATCAAAGAAAAAATAAGTGTACATAGTGTCAATGAAAAAAACCGCTTCAACATTAGAGGATGAGCTGCGAGTAAACAGAACAACTAGGTAACCATCCAAGAGGCCTTGCTAATCACTGAGCGGAGTCAACACACTGTAAAAATAAAAAAAACAGCTTTCCCTCTTTGGCTGAAATACTAGTTTTAGTTTTGAAAACAGGAGAGCTAGGACTGACATATCAGGAACAATAATTTTAGTCAGTTCAGAAAACCCAGGCGTTGTTTTTTTTTTTTTCATTACAAAATGAGCTGTCAGATCTTATACCTTTAAGTTGTAGATCATTTCAGCCTCTAAAAGTTCTACTTACTTTGATAAATTGTTGTGAAATGTTGAAAAAAAAGCTATTTTTGAGTTGGTTTTTTTAATTAAAGGCTGAATGTTGTTAAACTGTCCGTTTTAACATGACCAATACCTGACTAAAAGACGTATGAAACATTATTGTTTGTTACAGCTGATATTTATCCCCTGAATGTTACAAACAAACAGGAACAGACCAGATGAATCTACTATGAGAAAAAGCAGAGAGAGCATAACGTAAGAGATTGAATTAACAAATTCTGCAGAGTGAGAGAATAAAGGTAGAATGAAGCAGAATGATGAAAAAGGGGTCCCTATGTGCTCCAGTTGTCTAAGCCTTTAGCAGCATAACTACAGAAATAGCTCAGGATAACCTGAGTGACCCTAGCTATAAGCTTTATCAAAAAGGAAACTTTAACAGCGTCAGATTGTTGAACCATGTCTGAAATTTTTGCATCTAAACCACTTTTTCATGCAAACTATATACATGCATAGAATAAGGTTTAGTATAATTTATAAAAAAAAAAAAAAAAAAAAAACTTTTTTTTTTATTTCATCTTATAGAAGAGGGTGTCCTTTTCAAACCTTTAAGGATCGCTGACTATCTTTTTTTCAATAAAGCCCAGGTACAGAACAGCTGAGCCAAGTAGTTGAATTACCCCATCAGCAGGTTATCAGGTTCCACAGGTGCATCGTTTGATTTGGATGCAATGAACCAGGGCCAGATCTACTGCATGAATGATTCCACTCCCTAATGGCTGACTTTTGACAGCTTTACAGAAGCCATTTTTTTCCTTTCCTATACTCTACTGCATTAATGTGATTTTTACTTAATCAAAACTTTTAAGGTAGCGCGTTGCAACTGTGGGAAAACATTCAAGCAAACTAGGGGGGATCAACGGAAACCCTTTCTGCTCTCTGATTGGCTAAAACCGCTGCTGATCATTCGGAGCACCGCCCATAGACGCACAGCGGCAGCGCTGCTTTTCCTTTTTTTTTTAAACCCCCACAATGATATTCAAGGCACTTGCGACTCGCCTGTGACTGTAGAAAAGGGGGGAAAGCACCAAGAAAAAATAGAGAGAGAACCTCACCTCCTCTCACAGCGAGTGAGGTAGGACTGAGGTAGGGAGCAAGAGGCTGTGGAGTTAAGAGAGAGGCAGCAGCGGCGGCTCCAGTGAGGAGTGTCTAATTGCGCTTTATTAGAAAGAGTCATTTCAACACATATTTCGACATGTCATCGTCCGGGAAAGACAACAGTGGCGCCCAACACGCCAATTACGTGGGACCTTATCGTTTGGAGAAGACGCTCGGAAAAGGACAGACAGGTTAGTTGGGACAGCTGTCTCTTTAATTGTGCTATTTGTTTTCAACGCGCTCCGCAGGCGAGTTGAAATGTGTTTGAAAGAAAACTACATGCTTTAGTTATGATACACATGTCCCTTTATTTTAAGACATTAGTGTGGTTTGGTTATTTATCAGCAGTGGAATTTTGACATAATCATTGTTTACGCAGTGGGATGAGGAGGGATTTGTGTCTGGTGATGCTTTTCTTTACACGGGTTTCCATGTTTGTGCGTCGGCGTTGGACCGAATCTGCATGAAAAGCTTCCAAGAACAGACATGACAGCAAGATGGGCAGAGAAAATCAACTTTTTTTTCAAAAAAATAAAAAAAAATCTGTGTGTGTGTGCGTGTTTTTATCTGGGACGGCTCCTCCTGCCTGTTTGCGCACCCGGTTAATGTCCTGTGATTGGAGCGCAACGCAGTTAATCCCGATTTGCCTGATAGATTGATCTATTCTTAGTCCGCAGGCACGCAAGGAGAGAGAGAGACAGGCGTTTCTCTCACAGGCAGAGACTGCAATTCGGAGCCGAACATCCCACCTTGGCACAACACCTTGCAGAGCCACACTAATCTATATTCATACACCCCAGGGGATTCAATCGGGCTTCCTGACTGAGAAACGCATGTTTTCTGTCAAGCCTGCACATCAGTGACAGTGCATTTTCTAAAGTTGCGTATAACACATGTCCTGTACAGTCAGTGTTAGATGAGGATGCCCTGGGTGCAGTAGCTGGTAATATTCCCCGCTCTCTGAGGGGATGCTTGTGTTTAGCTCCAGCACTTGTGACTGGACAGCAATAATGCCCTGTGGTCAAATGCATGCAGCAGAACCATGTGAAAGGAGAGGCAGGTACAGCCCTGCCTGCATGGCTGTGTGTAAGCAGAAAATAGCAGGGCTGATTGCAGCACTTTTTCTTTAAAAATCACCATCCTTTAAAAATGAAGGGAAAGAGTTGAACTTCTCTGCATCTGTGGGTAGATTATACTCCAATCTGTAGTTTAAAATAGCTACAATAGCTGTTACTTAACCCAGCTCTGTCCAGCTGGTCATGCTGAGCTGCCATGTGTATAAATGTTTTTGTCCAGTCCTAAACGGTGTGCTTTCCTCCAAATATTCTCTTATTTAATTCACCTGATCCACAGCTCACTGTTCAGTAATGGCCATTGTTAATGCAGTGTGTTTTGTTGTGTGTGTGTGTGTGTGTGTTTTATTTTTTAGATAATGCCTTAGTTGCTTTATGCAACAGCTGTGTGTGCTTTTCATTAATGTATGCACATTTAATGGGTAGCGTGGTTGGTTTGGGGGTGTATACTCTGTTATGGTGTTATTCAATGCTCAACAGTGGAAGTAGGCAAGGCCTGTCATCTGATATTAGGGAAAAAAATTATGGCTGCAAAGTATGGAAAAAATCCTTCAGACAATTCTCAGTTCCAAAGTTTTGTAGTTGTTTAGTGAAGGGCTGTGCTCTCCTCCCCTACCTGTTGTTCAGTCAGCTGATTGCAAAAAGGCTTCTTCTGTTTTCCACAGCCTATAAGAAGAATTGTCATCAGAGCAGCTGCAACTTTAGGGGTACAAAGTGTGTGGCAGCATCTTGATAGATGCAAGCATCTGAATGTGGTTCAGACAACTTGCTGAAGTTTAAACAAATCATCAGGACAAGGTTATGAATGTGGCATTATTGTTGATTTTTAGAAACTTGTGATCAACTGGGATTTCCAAACACTCATGCATTGAGGTGCAGTTGTGTAGATAAAGAAAATATCTTGTTGATGTTGCAGAAGAATGGAGGATGCATGTCCCCCACAAACGAATACCACAACAAAGATATGAAATACCTTTTCTAAATGGAAAATATGATTAAAACAATGTAAAAAATGTTAAAATAATGTACTTAACCTAATAAGTCTCCATTGCAGCTTAGCTAGTATGTTGAATTTGGTTGAGAGAAAACGATTAGAGAAAACGATCGTGCCTTTGATATTGTTAAGGCTGATGATGACAGTAAATGCTACAGCCTAGCTTTGTCACAAATGGTATTTGTCTCTTTCTGTGTATCTATATTCTGGTGGTTTTCCTAAAACAGGATATTGTATCATGTCACAAATATTGAATCATAAACAGATTTTTTTGTTAGTTAATTTGACTGTAAATCCACTGTACTCTAAGGCCTTCAATGACACCAAATTTCCACCCAGTACTGCAAGTGTGGCATGTGTTGGAACAGGGGACTTACAAAACTAATGTGCAGCTGACAGAATTTCTGCAAAAATAAAAGACACTATCATGCCTATATTGATCAACATTTTAAAGAATATTCCCTTTCATGAATTAATGCCATAAAGAAAAAAAGGTAGGTCTTAATTAAAAAAAAAAACAATCAAAACAACAGCTGAAATCATGCTAACTTTGTTTTAATTTTCATTTCCAGTCTTGCTTAACTTTGTATTTAAATTTAACAATAACAAAAATGTAAAAGTTGGATGAAGTCCTACACTGGTATCTTTACTTAAAGTCATAATGTTTCATGTTTTCTTTCCCTTCAACCCCCCCTCTGTTTTATTTAGCTTTTTCTGTTTTTCACAGGAGGAGCTCTGTCAGTCTTGTCTTGCTTTCTGATTGCCCACTGCAGCGTCCCTAATGGGTGTTTGTGCTAGTATCGAGCTGGTATCGTCTGTTTGGTACAGACGTTTAATTATGTGGTGTCACTGAGATCATCGTTCCTGTTCATGGAATACCTAAGACCAGCTCTGATGGATTTTTTTTTTTTTTTTGATTTTATAAATTTCTGTAAAAATGCAGGCCACTGGTCAGACAGAATTTTTTTATTTAAACCTTTTAGAGAGCTCCAGGACACTTAGGAGACTCACTTTCACTCAGAACCAGGGTTTCCAGCTATTTGTTTCTCCTTTGTATATTTAAACCACAGCACCATCCAACTGTTTTGTTGAGAAAAAAAAATGGTCATTGGCATCTGACTCGTATAACCATGCCAGTATTCACATTACAGACTGTGTCTAACATCCATTTGCCTGTTAACCATTTGTTGAACCGTTAGATCTTTTTCCCAGGCCCCCATGAAAAAGGTTGGCCTGGCAACTGTCAGTGCCCAATGGGCCTGGCCCGATCATGACTGGCAGCAGGGACTGTCCAGTGAGCTAAATCCTTTGTGAGGATTCCCGAGCCAGGGTTGGCTTGTATTAAGAGAGGAGGGAGAGAGGAAGACTTCTTCTTGATCTGGCTCTTCAACTCAGGAGTTGTGCAGGTTCTTTATCATTAAGTGATTAGAGCGTGTCCTGAGTCACACACATGGCCACCATGGGAGTTCTGAGTTGGATCCTGGTTTAATCCCCCTACACAGCTAAAATCTGCAAAGCTCTCACTCGCACTGTTCACGTGGCTCAGAGGTCACAGCCTGTGTGTTATCATAGCCTAGCACCTTACTGATTCTTTCACTGGTACAGCAAATAACAATTTACTGTTTCTTAATTAATAAATGCATGCCATGAATGCAAGGACCTCATTGCAAATCCTTGTCTAATTGTTTTGAGCAAGTATTTTTTTTTTTTAAGTGCGACCACATTTTCCCTTTAGTTTCTGCAGAGTAATTTGTGTGACTTCTCCTTTGTCAGGTGAGCATTCAGGCCTGAAAAGGTCTGTAGATATGAAGTGTCTGCATGGCTGCCTGCTGATTGGCACCACAGCTGCAGAAGAATAAGGCTTGTGTTTCTGTGGTTGATTGGTAGAACCTGGTCAATACTGTGCTTCTATGCCATATATTTTGTGCAGGATTTCTGTTGTGTATGGCAAGGGAATACATCAAAACCTTTCACTGTCCTTTAAAGCAAATAACCTGTATGTTGCTTTTAACAGGGAGGCCGTCTTTAAATGTAGTGCTAACCTAAACACTTTGTTGACCCATCTTGGGTCCATCCATCTTGGATATATACTGAAAGTCTTTTAAGAAAAAATACTTTTTTGTTGAGTACACATTTGAGTTTCTGCAGGCCTGTTTTTTGTTGCATTAAACCTAAAACTATTACAAAAATCCACATCATAAGACCAAATATAGCTGATTATAATGCTTTTCTTATGCTACAGTGATCCTAATGTCCAAAATGAACTTTTTTTTTACTCTAGCAGTATCTAAAATGTTTCCATCGGAACTGAATGTAATTCAATAATGTGAGAATATCCTGATTATAACTTGCTATAATAAAATATGTAGTGATACAAATGTGTTTGATTTAAATCAACAGGAGGGCAAACACATTTAGATATAAGTCAAAGACGACACAAGCACTGTAAACACATAATGCAGTTAGAAAATGAAAGTTTTTCTGTTATAAAGGGAGATAAAGCTACATTTTCCTGTGTGGTTAAAAAGTGATCGCCCTCCTAACAATTACATGTTGAGCCTCCCTCAGCAGCAATCAAGTGTTTGCGATTACTTGAAATGAGCCATTTATAGCACTGTGGTGGAATTCTGGTCCACTCAGCTTTGCATAATTTGTTGTAATTCATCCCAAATGGATAGTTTTAGTGCATAAACGTTTAAAATTCATGCCAGACTATGTTAATAGAATTTATGTCAGGACTTTGACTAGGACACTACGAAGTCCTCAGTTTGTTTGTTCTTAGCCTTTCGAAGGTGGACATTGGAGATGGGTCTTAATGTTGTTTTTGCTTAGCTGTGGTTTTTAATCTTGGCACTCTGCCATGCAGGCTATTTTTGTTCTCATGATGAAGACATGAACACTGACCTTAACTGAACCAAGTGAGCCCTACAGTTCTGTGGATTTTTTTGGGGCCTTTTGTGACCTCTCTGAGATGCCGCTGCACTTCTGGAGTAATTTTGGTTGGCCGGCATCTGCTTGGAAGAATCACAACTTTCCTAGGTTATTCACCTTTTGTGGATCATGTCTCTTACTGTGGGGCACCAGTGTTCCAAACTCTAAAAAAATCACTTCCCAGACTAAAATT